CTTAGAAACCCAAAGTTTAACTTTGATTTATCAAAAAACTCACCAACTTCTATTCGTACCCTTAAAACCAAAATCCCAAAGTTTTGTTGTCAAAAAATCCATTTTGAAGAATACAATATTTTTCTATTTTATATCTGTATATAAAAATAAACAATCCCCAAAATGCCCTTTTCTCTCATAAACTGTCACTTCCACCATTAATGGAAATATTGCTCTCCCACCGTGTTCCTTCTTATTTTCCCTTACTCTCTCCTCCTATAACAAAAATGGGTTCAACTCAAAACTTCATCACCCAAACCCCACAATCCACAGATGAGGAAGCATGTGTCTACACCTAACAAAAATAGGTTCATGTAAGTTTTCTAGGGTTTCTTATCTTTCTCATTGATAGAATTGTTGGCTTATATAGCCTTACACACACGTTTACACAAAGACCCTCTAAGACCCGTTAATTGCATTACATTCTCAACACTCCTCCTCAAGATGGGCGAAAGATATCAATTAAGCCCATCTTGTCACATCCTCTAGCTAGATCTATTGAGCTAAGCCCTTTAGTCAAGCAGTCTGCAGCATGCTCCTTAGTTGGAACATAGCCTAACTCCAGTAGCCCACTGTTCAGCTTCTCCTTGATGAAGAATCTATCAATCTCGATGTGCTTAGTTCTGTCATGTTGAACTGGGTTGTTGGCGATGCTGATAGCTGACTTGTTGTCGCACCACAAACTCATCTTGGCCCCTTGGTCAAGGTTCAGCTCCACCAGCATGTTCTTCAGCCACATCAGCTCTGCAACCCCCAAGGTCATGGCTCTGTACTCCGCTTCAGCTGTTGATCTCGCCACCACAGATTGCTTCTTGCTTTTCCAGGAGACTAAGTTACCTCCTACAAATATGCAATACCCTGAGGTGGATCTCCGATCATCTCCACAGCTAGCCCAATCTGAGTCACAGTAACCCTCAATGTTCACATGGTCACACCTCCTGAATCTTAGTCCTTTACCAGGGGCACCTTTTAGATACCTCAGTATCTGATATACTGCATCCATATGACCCTTCCTCGGGTCATGCATGTAGCGACTCACCACGCTCACCGCAAATGAGATGTCTGGGCGTATGTGACTCAGGTAGATTAGCCTGCCCACCAATCTCTGATATCTCTCACGATCAACAGTTTCTCCTGCCTCAGCACTCAGCCTGAAACTCTGATCAATCGGTGTAGCAGCAGGCTTGCACCCCAACATCCCTGTCTCTGCAAGAAGATCTAGCGCATACTTCCTCTGGGAGAGAACAATCCCCTTAGGTCCATGAGCTATCTCTATCCCAAGGAAGTATCGAAGCTGACCCAGATCCTTCACTTCGAATTCTTTGCTCAATCTTACCTTGAGCGGAGTAATCTCCTTCTCATCATTTCCTGTGATAATCATGTCATCCACATACACTGCTAGCATAGTGATGTGACCCCTACTTCTTCTGAAGAATACAGTATGGTCGGTATTGATCTGTCTGTATCCCATACCAACCATGGCTCTCCTAAACCTATCAAACCATGCTCGAGGTGACTGTTTCAGCCCATACAGAGACTTCTTCAGCTTGCAGACCTTACCTACTGTCTGTCCTGTACCACATCCAGGTGGTATCTCCATATACACCTCTTCCACTAGATCTTCATGAAGAAACGCATTCTTCACATCCAGTTGGTGTAGTTGCCATCCACCATTTGTTGCCAGAGAAATCAACATTCGAACAGTACTCATTTTCGCCACTCGTGCAAAAGTCTCATCGTAGTCAATGCCGTATGTCTGGCTGTACCCTTTTGCCACCAGTCGTGCCTTATATCGTTCAACCTTCCATTCTGGGTTCTGCTTCACAGTAAACACCCACTTGCATTCCACTGCTCTTTTCTCTGCTGGCAGTATCGCTAACTCCTACGTGTGGTTCTTCTCAAGAGCCCCCAACTCCTCATGCATAACAGCCTTCCACTTTGGGTCCTTCTTAACATCCTGCCAATTGTTAGGTATAATAACAGAATCTAATGATGCAATGAATGCTCCGTGTGAAGGGGATATGTGAGAGTAGGAAACAAATTGATCTAGATCCCAACCATATCTCTTAGGAGGATTTCCCGCATTACTGCGAGTAGTCCTCCTCTCTGACATTGGTGTCGGGAGAGAGGCAGGAGTAGGAATGGTATTACCTAGAGTGGAGGATGGTGTAGGTGTCTCAGGAGTTGGAGCAGAGCTGGACAAGGGACTAGGCACTGGCACTGTCAATGTAGGCACATCTGGCTCATTCCCCCTCCTACTGTATATAAGCAACTCCCCTTGAGCTGTAGGCCTAACACCCCTTGTCTCCTCCTCCTCCCCTTCGTCTTCATCCTCCTTCTCTGCTGAGTACGGGATCGAAATTGGGATTGACCCCCTTGAGCTCTCACCATTCCCTCCCTCTTGCCTCGTACCTCCAGTATCGGGTAAGTCGCCAAAAGGTGAAGTAACCCCCACTGTGTAGTACGGCTTGAGCTCCCGAAACCGCACATCCATGCTGACAAACATCCTCTTTTCTACCGGACTCCAGCAGACATATCCTTTCTGGGTGCCATTGTAGCCCACGAATATACACTTCACAGCCCTAGGGTCTAGCTTCCCAACCAATGGTCTGTTGTCCTTCACAAAGCACACACAGCCAAATACCTTCAATGGTAGGGCCCCCCGTTATCTCCCTTCAGTGTCTCACGAGGAGACTTCCACTCCAACACACTCGAAGGCATCCGGTTGATTAAGTAAGCAGCAGTCAAGACTGCTTGTCCCCACAACACTTTTGGGACATTCATCGCCATCATTATACTCCTAGCAACTTCTAGGAAATGTCTGTTCTTCCTCTCTGCTACCCCATTCTGAGCTGGGGTGTATGGGCATGTAGTCTGGTGTAGAATCCCGAGCTGACAGATACTCCCCAAGTGTTCTATTGGTGTACTATGTCCCATTATCCGACCTCAACACTTTTACTGCTGCACGATACTGAGTCTGGATGTGCTTATGAAAATATTTGAAACAGCCAACTACATCACTTTTGTTTTTCATAAGATACACCCAAGTGACTCTAGAGAAGCAATCAATAAATGTTACAAAAAACTTGCATCCATTTGTAGAATTTACTGGGCAGGGTGCCCATACATCAGAATGTATTACTTCAAACTTATAAGAACTCCTACTACCCGAACTAACATAAGAGCTTCTAGTCTGCTTCCCAAACTCACAAGCATCACACTGTAACTTCTGTTTATTTACTTTTCCAAACAGAGTTGGATACATTTTACCCAAAATACCGAATGACGGATGTCAACTTCTGTTTATTTACTTTTCCAAACAGAGTTGGATACATTTTACCCAAAATACCGAATGACGGATGTCCCATTCGCTGATGGTAAAGCATCAACTCAAATGACGGATGTCCCATTCGCTGATGGTAAAGCATCAACTCATCTTCTGCACAGACTTTAGCTACTCTTATTCATGTCCTCTCCACCACAGAAGTCAACGCTGAGTCCATCCCTTCGCGGTCCAAGTACCACAGCTCGCTACGCCATGTCCCAGTCCCAAGTCTTCGCCTTGTCCCTTTCTCCTGAAAAATTACCTTGGGAATGTCAAAAGAAACAATACAATTGAGTTGGATGATAATGGCACTAATGGATAACAGGCTAACAGGAAATGAAGGAGCATGCAGAACATTAGATAAAGTTATAGAACATGTACAACTAACAATGCCCTTACCAGCCACATCCTGTGCTGTACCATCAGTAATTTGGATGCTCTCTGCTTCTGCTAAGTGAGTGTAAGATAAGAACTCACTGGAATTACCTGTCACATGTCTGGATGCTCCAGAATCTATTATCCAGGCGGTGGATCTTCCCTCGTTTGGGTGTGCACTAAGGGCGTAATTGGCATAGTCCACTCCAGTGAAAGTAGTAGATGACTCCTCAGACACATCACCTACTGCTCTCTGCTTCCTCCTCAGTGCTGCCAAGAGAGTCCGATCCTCATCAGTGAAGATCATCTCAGCTTCTTCTCTTTCTGCCACTGTCAAGTTTGCCCGGTGACCTCCTCTTCCACCTCGCCTGCCTCCACGCCCACGGCCACGGCCTCCAGCCTGACCACGTTCACCCCAGTCCACGCCCACGGCCACGGCCTCCAGCCTGACCACGTTCACCCCAGTTCCTCTCCCTGGGTGGCTTAGGACACATCTGTCTCAGATGTCCTACCTCTCCGTAGTTAAAGTACTGCCTAGTCTCCCCTCTGAATCTAGTGTTATCCGGATTGGATACCACCAGTGCAGACTTCTCCCCTGTAAGTCCACCTGTCCCAGCCTGTAGCCTGATACGGCTCTCCTCCTGTATCATGGCCGGGACTGCCTCCTCCAGTGATGGGATCTTCGTCTGGGTTAGTAGCAACGTCGTTCTCTGCTTATACGCTGGAACCAAGCCTCGAAGAAACAACATAGTCCTCTTCTGCAGAGAGGCCTCGTGTTCCTTACACTCCGGGTCCTTGCAGCTTGTCAGAGGCGAGAAGTGATCGTGATCGAGCCACAAGCGCTCCAGCTCTATGGCATACTCCTGTACAGTCCTCTCTCCCTGGACTGTAGCGTTGATCTCCTTCTCGATCTGGAATACCCTCAGGTTCTTTCCCACCCTATCGTAGGTCCTCCTCAGCCTCTCCCAGACATCATGCACTCTCCCAAGGCCATCCACTGTGGTAGCAATTGGCTGGACTACAGAATTCAGAAGCCAGATGTACACCAACATATGAGTGGACTTCCACTCATCCCTCCCTGCTGAGTCCTCAGCCGGCTCAGTCTTCTCCCCTGTCAGATATCCCTCTAGGCTCCTCCCAGCAAGGGTATATTTCACCCGACGCGACCAACTCAGATATGTCGCGGGTCCATCAAGTTTTACATCGATAGGTGGAAGCTCCACCTTCTTGGGTTGTGGTTTTGTCGAGCTCTCTCCCGCCGACAACCTCATCAGTTGCATCAGTGTTGAGATCTCCTCAGGATTCAACTTCTTGATGATCCCTTCCATCGGATTTTTGCCAGTCTCCATCATCGATCCAACTTGTATTCTTGTGTGCAGTGAAAAATTTCGGCAACACTTCGACAGCACCACAAGAGAGATAGATCAACAAGAGTTCCTGTTTCACCAAGGAAACAAGAACTAGAAGCAGAATATATCAACCAAATGAGACATCGGTTCTTCCTCTCATCAGTTCTAGGACTGACTTGTCGAGGGAACCTAAACAATCTATTACAACTTTAAATATTGTCAACAATCTATTACAACATCTATCTCATCATTAAGTTTACCAAAGACTACCCACAACATTGGCCACCCAAAATTAAAATGAAATTAAACTACTGTTTAGAAGCAAACCAGTCTTCCTCCCATCACAAAATTAAAAACTAAATTAAACTCTCTATAGATGCTCGCCTCCCAGTCTCTCTTCTAGATCTGCTGCTCCTCAGATCCCTCCGTCGTCTCCTTATTATTTTGACCGCAGCAGCAAGTCTTAGTCAGTAGAAGCATCATCATCAATGGCGGCGGCGGCGGCGTTGCTTCCTCTTCTCCTTCTCTTCCTCACCTCCTCTCCATCTCTCCCGCCAAATCCGCCGCCGACTTCTGCACCTCGTGCGCCGGCGACGGAGCTGGTGAAGGCGAAGGGGAAGGCGACGAAGGCGGTGATAGGAAGGGGGAGGACTCGCCCCTGGGATCGCAGTCGGAGTGATTGGGGCGGCGATCTACAAGAAGAGGCAGGAGTCTAAGGTTAGCAGCGGTCTACAAGAAGAGGAACAGTGGCGGCGTCTCTGATACCATGTAAGTTTTCTAGGGTTTCTTATCTTTCTCATTGATAGAATTGTTGGCTTATATAGCCTTACACACACGTTTACACAAAGGCCCTCTAAGACTTGTTAATTGCATTACATTCTCAACAGTTCAACTCAAAACTTCATCCAATACCCTAAAATCCATCATCGAGATACACATCTTCAAGATCATCGATAAGGTTGTAGAAACGGCGAAAACGGCGACGAAGTTCAGGAAAAACGAAGCAGGAAACAGTCTGGGTGTTGTCCGGTCGACCACGACAACATGTGCGGTCGACCGGAAACGTGCACGAGTACAATGTGTGTTTCTGCACTTTGGCCGGTCGATCGCCACGGTCGACCGTCAAACCCTGTAATCGATTTTTTATTTCTGTCTTTCTGATCGGTCGACCGCGACGATTTCGACGATCGACCGTCAGTCGGGTTTGGACCTGATTGCGGTTTCCTGTTCTGATTAGGATTAGTGTTTTGTATAAATACAAACACGGTTTTTAGGGGTTTTGGGAGTTGAAAAAGGGGTTTATTTTGTGCACAGAAAAGAGAGTTTTCTGAGCAATTTGGTTAGGGTTTTGTTTGAGAGATTTTGAGAGAATTTGTAATCTCTATTTATACTATCCTTCTCTATTAGTGAAAACCCATCCCCTTCTTGCCCCGTAGACGTAAGCAACTTGCCGAATCACGTAAAATTCGTTTGTTTGTATTCGTGCTGTTATTTTGATTGTGTTTGGCTTTCTCTCTCAGCGTTTGTGTTTGCCCTCAGAACCCCAACAAGTGGTATTAGAGCACCAGACTACGCTTGGGTTAGGTGGAGGAGTAGATCGCTTTGGAAGCTCGTCTAGGGTTTTAATTGGAGACAAATGTGAGATTTTTACTATTATAGATCTTGTCTTCTGTCGTGTGAGGGTGAGATCTTTTGGAGGCTCTTGTTAGGGTTTCAATTGGAGGTAAAAATCTACATTTCTCGCAGTTTGGATCTATTTTTTCAGTTTGTTCCACATTGGTTTGTTGGTGTTTTGAGGAAGATGACTGAGAAAGAAGGTGTTGTGAGTGGTATTTCTGACGTGAAGACCGTTTAAAGTTTGAATATCCACTCTATGAAGATAGATGTTGAGAAGTTTAATGACACGAACAACTTTTGGCTTATGGAGATGTGAAGTTTTGGATGCGCTGAACGCGTAAAATTTGGAAGATATTTTGGAGTTGGACGGCATGTCGGACGACATTAAAGAAAATGTTTGGAAGAAGATGAATCGGACGGCGTGTGGCGTCATTAGGTCTTGTTTAACATAGGATCTAAAATATGATGTGATCAATGAGACTTCTGCAAAGAAGATTTGAGAGATTCTTGAAGACAAGTATTTGACGAAGAGTGTTGAGAACCGCTTGCATCTGAAAATGAGACTTTACCATTTTCAGTTGAAGAAGAGAATCTCAATTAGTGATCATAACTACACGAAACTTCTTACGGATTTGACGAATGTGGATGTCATGATCGAGGATGAGGACAAGACATTGTTGTTGTTGAGTTCCTTACCTGATGAGGAATATGAGACATTCGTTCTTACCCTAATTAATGAAAATATATCTCTTTCGTATAGTGAGGTTACCGCTGCTCTTGTGAACTATCAGCTTAAGAAGAAAGACAATGAGTCTGCTAATGATGTAGTAGCGAAGGCATTGACCGCAAAAGGGAAAAATCCAAACCGAAATACGAGGTTGCAGTCTAGAGGAGCATATCCTTCAGTTGGTAGGAATCAATGTGCTTTTTACAAAGAAGATGAACATTAGAACTCTGAATGCCGAAAGTTGAAAGATCGAACCGTGAATAATAAGGGAAAAGTTATACAAGCTTTAGAGATGAATGTTGTCAAGGCTAGTGACGACAATTCAGATTCGGATTCTTCGGACTACTCGTGCCCTGCACTACTGTCAATTTGTGATGCCGACTCTACAGAATGGATGTTGGATTCGGGTGCTTTATACCACATTTTCCTTAGAAGGGATGGTTCTCCAGCTTTGAGGAGTTAAAAAGAGAGGATGTCGTGCTCATGGGTAATGATCATGAATGTCCTATTGGTGGTATTAGAAAAGTTCTAATCAGAATGTGTGACGGGATGACTAGGGAGTTGAAGGAAGTAAGGTTTGTTTCGCAGTTGTCGAAGAACATCATTTTTCACTTAGAATTTTGGAGGCAATAGGCTATAGGGTGATCTTAGAGAATGCATCTTTGAAGGTCACAATGGGATCCATGATTGTAATGAAGGGCGTCAGAAATAATAATTTATACTATTTGATTGGGAGCACAGTGATAGGTGGAGCGCTGACGACTTCTATTGATTCGGCTAGACTGTGGCATTTGAGGAGCCTGGGACATTCGAGTGTTGATTCTGTGAATGGATTGGAGAGAGGCTATGAAGCACGGACACGCATAACATGAAGCTGTGTCGTATCGTGTCCGTGTCGGACACACGTGTCGAACACACGTATCCTATGTATTTTTTAGGATTTACCCCATGTCGGCGTGTCGGATGGCCATGTCGGATCTGTGTCCGTGCTACATAGGAGAGAGGTGCTTTGACCTGCAATTTGAAGTCTTGTGAACATATTGGTGTGAGCAAGAAAACCGATGTGAAGTTTGACACTTCTAGCCACCGAGCGAAGGGACTTCTAGATGATGTTCACGTAGGCATTTGGGTGTCTTCTAAAGAGGCGTCATTAGGAGGTAATAGATATTTGATTTTCTATGTTGAAGATTGTCCTAGACATTTGTGGGTTACAACCAAGTCTCGTTTGAGTGAAGTCCTAGTAGTCAACTGGTGAAAAAAGTGTATAGACAGAAAGGTAAATTTATTAGGAGGCATCATTGGGAGGTAATAGGTATTTAGTTTCCTGTGTTAAAGATTGTTCTAGGCATTTGTGGGTTGCAACCAAGTCCCGTTTGAGTGAAGTCCTAGTAGTCAACAAGTGGAAGAAGTGTATAGGCAGAAAGGTAAATTTACCTAGTTCTGGTTTTGATAGGAAACACAAGAGGGATCATTTTCTGCATTTGTGTCTAGCTCAAGGTAGTTTGAGACACTTCATTGGAAAGAAAACATTGGAGCAACGAGATGAGATGTCAAATTTGATGGGTTGTTCCTTGCTGGAGAAGGATCAGTATTTGATGTCAAGCACTGGTTTGCATGAGTTTTGGTGCTGAGGTTTTGACATATTAGAGCCATCTTATTTACAGTTATCGTCCGTCGCGATTGGAATATTTGGATCTGGTGGAGCTGTTTTAGATTTTGGGTTGCTTCGGATATTTGGATGCCCAGCATATTATCACATCGAGGATGTGAAATTTGATCCGAGTACACATTTGAGATTCAGAGGCGTGTTTGGTTACCAGTTATGGGATTCTGATGTTGTTCTGAGTAGTATTGTCACATTTGACTCTCAACAAGTGGAGAGTGTTGAACAGATCATTAAGATATCACAGCGGGTGGAGAATGATGCTACTTCACGTTTGATGGAGATTACTCCTTGTTCTCCAGATCATTCTGTATCGTTTGATATTCCAACTGAGTTGACATAGATTCATGTTGGTGTTGATGCAGTTCGAATGCAGCTGATGGACACAGTTCGGATTTGACTATGGCCGTTGATTCACCTCAGTTGAAGGTGTTTGGTAATTGTGTTTCTTCTACATATAGGGTTGAGAAGTTGAGCTTCAAGACAGAGTTGGTGGGGAGAGATGCAAGTTTGGAAGAGAATTTGTCTTTTCACTTTGAGGCCAACAGGGGCATGATCAGCTGCAGATTGGTTAGTGTTGATTATCGAAAGGTTGGTGAATGATTAAGAATTTTTCTAGTTGATTGAGGTCGTTTGAGGCCATTTGGATGAACTATGTGAGGCTTGATGCATTGGGCAAGAGGATACATAAGCAGTCATTTTGATGCAACCAGTTTGATGAGTTGATACCGATATTTTAGACTTTGTTCACATTCTTGTTTGGGTTCTCGACTTGTTGTGTATTGAGTCAGTTGTCGTGGATTATTTCCACTTCATACTGGACACAACAAGTGGGACGTTTGGTTAGTATTGGCGCCGGCTCAGTTTTGAAAAAACTTCGCCGATGTGGAGAATTGTAGAAACGACGAAAACGGCGACGAAGTTCAGGAAAAACGAAGCAGGAAACAATTTGGGTGATGTCCGGTCGATCGCGGCAACATGTGCGGTCGACCAGAAACGTGCACGAGTACAGGGTGTGTTTCGGCACTCTGGCCGGTCGATCGTCGCGTTCGACCGCCAAACCTTGTAATCGATTTTTTGTTTGTCTTTCTGGTCGGTCGACCGCGACGATTTCGACGGTCGACAGTCAATCGGGTTGGGCCTGATTATGGTTTCCTGTTCTGATTGGGATTTGTGTTTGGTATAAATACAAACACGATTTTTAGGGTTTTTGGGAGTTGAAAAAAGGGTTTGTTTTGTGCACAGAAAAGAGAGTTTTCTGAGCAATTTGGTTAGGATCAGTGTTTTCAAAGGCGCGCACCTCACTGCGCCTCATGCGTCTTACGATGCGGGGCGGTGGTGAAGCGCCCCACTTCTGATGCAGCAGCGTCTTTTGCGCCTCGCGTACATCCTTTCTTCTATGCAGGGTGCATGTAGTACATATCCTCATAGTTTTGCTTGTTAATATTTCAATCGAGTCTTTATACTTAATATTACATATCCCAAAAAATAAAATAAATCCATTAGGCCTTTTAGTAGCCTTCAATTGAGGACCATTACAAATCCTTTGCTTGACTATTAGTCTTTATTTAACATTTGATTTGAAAATTTATGAATTTTGCTACTATGTTGGGTGTTAGCATTTGAAATTAATGCATTATATTATGATTTTGTAGTAAGATATTATTTATCATGACATTTTTCATGTGAATTCTAAAAACATGTTCTTTCACGTTTGATTATATATTTTAAAAAATTATGTAGGCGGTGTGCGCCTTGCATCACTCGGGCGCGCGCATCACGTTGCGCCCTGCGCATGTGCGAATAAAGATGCTTTGCGCTCCGCATTGCGCCTCACGCATTGAGAACACTGGTTAGGATTTTGTTTGAGAGATTTGAAAGGTTTGTTTGAGAGATTTTGAGTGAATTTGTAATTTCTAGTTGTACTCTCATTCTCTATTAGTGAAAACTCATCCCCTTCTTGCCCCGTGGACGTAGACAACTTGCCGAACCACATAAAATTTGTTTGTTTGTGTTCGTACCATTATTTTGATTGTGTTTGACCTTCTCTCTTTGCGTTTGTGTTTGCCCTCAAAACCCCAACAAAGGCTACGACAATGCTCAAGAGGATGATGAGGCTGATGACAAAGGCTGATGGCAAGTTACAATGTGTTGACATGCACGGTCGAGACAAGGTGGAGCCAAGCGACCTCTAAAGCGGAGGCGGAAGAGGAGTCAATCGATTTCTATGATTCGGATTTGAAACAGAGAGAATTAGGGATTATAGTGATTTTTTTAGTTTTAAGGAGATAAATACAAGGGCTTTTTCGGAACTGCTAAGCAAAACCCCCCCAAAAAATAATATTAGATGGATTGCTTTCTTTGGCTTGGGGGTGGGGGAACCTAGTAGGACTATACATAGTCCTTAAAATTCTGCCTATTCTCATTTTTGATTTGCAGATGTATGGTTCTGGACTATGTTCTACATCATTTTCTTGTGACAAAAGATTTTCAGCACAGAAATGATATAAAGCACAACAAGAACAAAGGCTCCAGATATCTCCTCCTCTATACAAATGAGAGAACCCAAGATTTACTATTCATGATACAGTAATATCTACTGTAGCAACATTTAATGCAGCAACCACACGGGTGGGTTTTAAAACACTGTAGCACATGGGAATACTGTAACAGAAGCGGGACACTGTAGCAATCCAGAAAATCAGTAGCGTTTAAAACCGGGATTACTGTAGCAGAAAAAAATATGTCGTGCTTTGCACGGTGTTCACATTAGTCTTATTTATTGGAACATCAGCTCCATTTATGTCGCATGCCTTATTACACATTAATCTTGGCATGCCTCGTTTTTTTAACATCTAGCTAATTCATCAGTCTTTATAGTCAATAATTTATGGATTACACAATGATTCTCGGGTTATTCAGTCAAGAATAATTAAAACTGTTAGAACTTCAACCAGATCATAAAGCTTGATGCCTTAGGATCTTACTCTCTGTATGGCAGTCAGTGTCATGTTCGAAGCACTGCTTCCTCAACATTGACAGGTTAAGTACTCCTTATTTATGACGGTCAATGGTAAGAGAACTTATGCATGATCACTGGTAAAGTCCAGTGCCTATATAATTATTTCCCATCAAGAAGAGGTCTACCCTGACAAAAATTCAACCTTAAGAAATATTCACGAAGGTTCCCCAAATTAGTAAGACTTGAAATTCGTAGCAATTTCTCCGCTATAGTGACAGCAGAATCACCATTGCAACTACTAAGAAGTTAGAAGACTAGTTGAAGGATAGGGAGACCTATCTTATAGTTTGCAGCTAGACTTGGGAAGACTCCATAAGAGAGAAATACCAAATTTTCAGTTGAGTTTTCTTTTTTCTACATTACGTAGAGGTTTTCCCAAACAACTTAATTACGAATACCCCCAAATTTCACATACAAAAGAAACAAACAGAATAGAAGAACACAAGGGTATATATGTTCTAAATCATTAAGTATGAATTAATCAAGACCAACAATAGATGGCTAAGATTTTTTTTCCCCATCTGAATTTGAGACGGTTGTTGTAGAGTATGTGATGTTGAGTTCAATTATGACCTTACCTCGGAGGTTTGTTGGACCCTGCAAATTCAATGCCAAGGAAAGTCTTCCTATGTGCACATCCCTTACAATACTTTTTCATCAAAATATTTAAAAGTATCTGGGCGTTAACACCTATGAAGCACGGACACGCATAACATGAAGCCATGTCGTGTCGTGTCCGTGTCGGACACACGTGTCGAACACACGTATCCTATGTATTTTTTAGGATTTGCCTCGTGTCGGCGTGTCGGATGGCCGTGTCGGACCCGTGTCCGTGCTACATAGGTATTTTTTAGGATTTGCCTCGTGTCGGCGTGTCGGATGGCCGTGTCGGACCCGTGTCCGTGCTACATAGGTTAACACTTATGTAATCTACAACAGTCCTTTGAAAACATTAATATTCTCCCTTTAAGTGGAAACTTGACACCCATAACCGGCATTGAAATGTAATCTGAAAGGAAAATATATATTTTTATGTGGAAAATCGAAAAGTATGAAGACCTTTACATGGAAAACTTGAAAAAACAAATAGAAAAAGACCTAACTTGCAAGATAATATAATTCTCATCTCACAAGCAAAATCAAGCACGGAAAAGGACAGTAACCCACAACCAGCTTATCCGACTAGCAAATCCCTTTATTAACTAATTAGATTAAGAAATATAAATCACGAAATTTGTTTAGTACAACTAGATAACAATAAAACATTAATAGTTAGTTACTTAAAAAGTGGCTAAGCCCATAAATAAATTTCAATATAAAGCATACTCATCATATAAACATCTGATTTCTTTATTATGAGGTTATATCATGACTCATGAGACCAACAATGAACACCTAACGAGTTCAATTATGACTTTACCTCGGAGGTTTTCTATTAAATCAACTTGGACCCTACAAATCCCAATTCGAAGGAAAGTCTTCCTATGTGCACATCACTACAATACTTTTGGTCAAAATGTTTAAAAGTATCTACTCGTTAACACTTCTGCAATCTACAACTGTCCTTTAAAAACATCAATACTTTCATTTAAGATTTAAGTGGAAAATTAACACCCCATAACCGACATTAAGAGATAATCTGAAAGGGAAAAAAATCATGTGGAAAATAAAAAAGCATGAAGACTTTTACGTGGGAAACTTGAAAATAAAATAAAAAAGAAAGGACCTAACTTGCAAGATGGTACCATTCTCATCTAACAAGCAAAATCTAGCACGAAAAAGCACAAGAACCCACAACCAGCCTATACGAATAGCAAACCGCATTATTTACTAGCTAGATTAGAAATATAAAACATAAAAACTGTTTATTACAACTAGGTAACAATAAAACATTGAGCTCTGAATAGCTAACTACTTTAAGAGTGCCTAAGGTGATAAATAAAATTTTTCAACATAAAGTATATTCATCATATAAACATCTACTTTCTTTATTAAAAGGGTATATCATGAGACAAACAATGAACACCTAAGTGAGACCTAAGCCGTTCCTAACATAACTCTCAGTACACCTGAAATAAGCTAAATTTCCAAATATTATCATACATTATTTTTCTTCCTAACTTAAAAATGTCCTGCCTTTGCCAAATCAAGCATAGTTTACTTACTTCACTAGCAAATTAAATCTCCACTCCATATCGATGAGGTAAATTTATTACAAGAGGAAACTCAAACCCCAAAACCCAATTTCATGAACCTTGAGAAATCCTTTTTTTAAAAAAACATCACCAAATTCTATGGCAAGAACCATGATTTACTCAAATTGGACACATGAGACCAAATTAATCCTCCAAAATGCAAACCCACAAAGAAACCCAACATGAAGAGCCCTCTAAACTAGGATAAGGCCCAAATTTCCCAAAAAGAGCAGCATTCTCATCTATAGTGATAAATTATCAATAAAATTACAAAAAACCCACATCAGAAATTAACATATAGTAATTAAGGGAAGTATCAGAAGTACTGACCTCCATGGATTAGGAAGAGAAAGCTCCTTGAAAACTGTAAAGGCTTTCAGCAGCCACAGGGAAGCAAGGAGAGCTGATAAAGGAAGGAAAAGGTGAAAACTTTGGCTGAATTCGTTGGAAGTAGCGAAGAAGGCAACGAATGAGAAAAAGCAGAGATAATGATAGAGAGCAACATGGGTGAAGCGTACCAGGGAGGTATACAGAGAGAGAGAGAGAAGGCCAGCTCATGGTTGACCTTTCAGACTTCGTATTATGTCACCTTCAACAAATTTTTTTTTTTTAAATCGATCTCCTTGAATTTTTTTTTAAAAAAAACCGATCCGTTTTTTCGTCACATCAGCATCGTGGCGAGAAAATAGGTCGATTATTTTTTAATCCAGTTCTTAAATAGTCGGAGTTGTCAATCTCGACTATTTAGGATGTTACAAAACCTTAATTACAACCATAAATCCGAACATTTTATGTTCTAAATAGTTAGGGTTGGCAACCCCGACTATTTAGGAACCGAATTAAAAAAAATCGACACACTTTCTCGCTACGATGCTGACGTAACGAGAAAGTGAATCGATTTTTGTAAAAAAAACTCAAGGAGTCGATTAAAAAAAAAAAAGGTGTGAATGAGTTTATTTAGAAAATTTCTTCATATCACCTTTCATAAAGCCAACTGCAAATTTTAATAATGGGTTATTTGCAATTAGGTACTCTAAGGTTTACACTGCTTATAACTTTGACATACTGAAGTTTTTCCCCCCTTTTTCTGTGAGACTTTGATATCTCAAAGTTTGCACCTTGGGTAATTTTGACAACCCGAAAATTATCTCCGACACTTTGATATCCAGAAAAGTTTGTGCTCTTTTGAAGTTTGATATCATAAAACCTTTGTTTTTATCACTTTAATACTCTAAAGTTGGGGGTATTGAAGTTAAATAATGTGTAAACTTTGGGGTATCAAACTGCAAAAAAAATTAGGTAACAAAGTTTAGACAGAAGCTTTGGGTTATTAAAACCAAAAATATGCAAACTTTGGCGTATCAAAATATTAAAAAAACCTTTAGGGTATCCAAAGTAATAGAGGTATAAACTTTAGGATACCAAAATGCAAATAATCCTTCAATAAATAAATAAAACTAGAACAATTAATTGCATTTAAACCCCAGTAATACCTCCGTTTTAGACTTTTTACCTTAGGCAATATAACACATATATCTTATAGTTTACGTGACTTTGCACCTATATGCACCATTCTTTTTGTCTTAACATTCTCTTAGTTAAATATTTGAACATACATGTTAATGATTGAAAAATTATCCTAAAAATTATCACGCTATTAAATGTGATAAAATTTGGTCAATTATACCCCCGAAGTTGGTAGTTTCTACTAAAAAATATTCATCTTCAACTTTATACTCCCACTTAGATTTTGTCCAAAGTAAATTTTCACTCCTACTCGTTAATTTACCCAACTTTGGCTATATAATTAACCAGTCTTTATATTGTGTGAATCAAATTTTTAGGAGAATATTCCAATGTGTAATGAGAATGTTTTAACATTTAACTAGGAGAATGTAGTAAAGTGTTAGTTTAAAGAACTTAGTGATGGAAATTTATCAAATAATTAAGATTATAGCATGCAGATAAATCCGAAAAATTAAACAATTAAAACTGGCCTGAACGGGAGCAGTCGTGTATTCACTGCCCTAGAAGATTGAGAACTCGCCTATCGCCCTGGCGCAGATGGTTCCCTTCCCCTAGCGGTAAAAACCCCCGGAAACGGCCGGCCTCTACACTCGGGCGAGAGTGCAGAGCTTCAGCTCAGATGAAGGAAGTTGCCCATAAAATAAAACTAAGATGTAGATGAAAATAATATGTAGGGGAGAGAAGAAAAACAAGAGAAACTTGTTGTATATTTTCCTTCTTATTTTGAGCTTAACATATGGATATATATATATAGGGTTGGAAAAGACGTTACAAAACCCGTAATTAATTCTGTAACGTTCGTCATAAATTTTGTAACGTTCCCCATAATTATATATCCGTTACACATATTTTAATTGCATGTTTTAATTACAATATTTATTATAATTCATGAAGGCAAAATTGCCTTTTGTTAACAAAATATCTAACAGTCCCCCCCAAAAGGCAATATTGACTGAAGACTTAGAAATCAATAAATAAATCAAGAAATCATAAATCAAATATAGGTTGGGCAACCTTTCGTATCGTGAATTCGGGAGAGGTAGCTTTCGGCTTTGAACCTTTCCTTAGTGAGTTCATCGCCACCTGAGGGACATAATGGACTAGGCCTTGAATTAGGCCCCTTTAATCAGGTATTGATGAAAACACACACAATACGCTTCATCTATTGAGCAAAGCGGGTTGAGCGTTAAAGGCCATGCTCACAATAAACCGACTCATGAGAGTTTCTAGGGGTTAGCCCAGCCCCCCCTAACCGCGGCCATCACGGTTCCTCTCACGTAGGTAAGTCCTCAAAGGGTACTACAGCTGTTTATTTAATACCCCCCACAATACACGCGTTGGACTTATTAAGAGTAAAACTCAGCCTAGCCAGCTGTATCATAAGAGCATCGTCATCATAGAGAAGGGGTAGTAGCAAATGCTACATAATGATATATAAATATATCTAGGTCGATGCTCCACACGAGAGTCACTTGTCCAGCTTGTTTCTACCACATTGAACCGACATTGGGACTACGTCTCCAAATAAGGGTTGGGTTGCCGCTGTCAGTGACCTCATCTATGGGCTTAACCCCATCTCCCTCGATGAATCCAGAACCACACTCCTGGATAATCCCTTAGTCAAAGGGTCATCAAGATTCTTTTCACAGACTTTACAAAGTCTAGAATCATAACTTTGCCTAGCAGGCGTTGTATTTATTTATCAAGTTCTTATTTTGTAATTAGTCCATCATATTGTTTGAAATTGACATTAGGTCATGATCTATGATCATAAAAGATCATAGTCTATGTCTGAAGAGATTGACCTTAATATCTGAACATTTCAAACTAATGTGGAACTAAAAATTCTGCAGTTATGCATATGCACATACATGAATGAAATTAATAATAGATACATGCAGAGCATAATAGGATTTCGTATCTTAAAATATATTTTCGTATCTTAAAATACATTTCATACTTCATAATTCAAATGCATAAAATTTTTAAAATTCTTCTATTATAAGAGGTTACAAATTGGTTGCCTACAAAGGAGACCGTCCAAATTTAAATCGGTTGCCTACAAATGAGACCTTCCAAATTTAAATTGGTTGTCTACAAAGGAGACCTTCCAAATTTATGTTGCCATTTTCTAGTACCACCTCTTATACAAATAATAATAATAATAATATTTGTACATACGTGCTTTAAATTTTACAAGTGCATTCTTGCATAAAACCTTGTAATTAATCATGTAAAAAATGCAAGTTATCTAAAAAGATATATGAGCATTTATTGCAATATTCATCAAAATGCAATAAAAATGATGAACTTTACATTTGAATAATATAATTCACCATATAAAATAGAATTTTAAAAGATGCACCTCTTTGATTTGGTTCGCTCATATATTGATCATTTATCATTAGGCAATATATGATGCAAGAAGCGTAATTAAATAAATGCATATGAATTATTCTCATAATTCCGGTCCTCTTATTCCAAAAACTCCTAAAGTGAAAAGATTAAAGTTTTACCCGGGTAGTTAGCCAGGTAAGGATAGTAATAGAGGTTGATCAAAGATCAATTAAGTACCTCGTTCCTTGCAGAGCGCGTTACGCAACCCTTAAACCTTGCCTTAGACACCAACTAATCCAAGAAAACTTGAATCGGTTCACTCAATGAGTTTTTGTTCCTTAACAGTATATAGAAACTTTAAATTATTTCCTGCAATCATTTAAATTGCCTAGCAATTATACTGCAAACATATGATGGATAAGGCCGAGGAGGGGTTTACCTATTGATGTTCGAACCTCATGATTTTCATGTCTTGAGAGTAAAAACTCATCTGCTGCAGACAACTGCCACAGAAGTTGCTGAACAAATTTGCATTCACTTTTACCACCTTCTGTACTAAGCTTATTAGATGCATAAATACACTAAAGTATGGAATTATTAATAATAGAAGGTACCATATTCATAGTTTAAAGAAATGAAAGCATTAAACCATAAACAAAACAATCCAGATATTTCAAAGCATCTATGCATCCAGAGTTTGTTCTCTTTATTCTTGTCAAAACCATGCATATGAAATTTTTAAGAATAAATACATGTACGATGAACCATAAAGAATGGTAACAGCAAATCTCGTGGATGCACAATATTTTTTTTTTAAATGTATTTTTCCCAAGTGAATAGTAAAATAAGGTTCTGGTGAACAGTACCTTTTATTTTCTAATAGCTATTTAATAGATAACCAAATGAAAGTAGCTACAATTAATCATATTAGATGAACAATATCAAAACAGATTATTATTATTTTTCGATGAACAGTAATGTTGATGAACAGTAACTTTTAACTATTTTTCCGAATTAACAGAAATTATTCAGCAATAATTAAAAGCAATTAATTATAGATAAACTTATTTCGGATTTAATAAATCAACAGTTATATAATCAATCTTCTAGATTGTTGGAAATTTATCAAATAATTAAGATTATAGCATGCAGATAAATCCGAAAAATTAAACAATTAAAACTGGCCTGAACGGGAGCAGTCGTGTATTCACTGCCCTAGAAGATTGAGAACCCGCCTATCGCCCTGGCGCAGATGGTTCCCTTCCCCTAGCGGTAAAAACCCCGGAAACGGCCGGCCTCTACACTCGGGCGAGAGTGCAGAGCTTCAGCTCAGATGAAGGAAGTTGCCCATAAAATAAAACTAAGATGTAGATGAAAATAATATGTAGGGGAGAGAAGAAAAACAAGAGAAACTTGTTGTATATTTTCCTTCTTATTTTGAGCTTAACATATGGATATATATATAGGGTTGGAAAAGACGTTACAAAACCCGTAATTAATTCTGTAACGTTCGTCATAAATTTTGTAACGTTCCCCATAATTATATATCCGTTACACATATTTTAATTGCATGTTTTAATTACAATATTTATTATAATTCATGAAGGCAAAATTGCCTTTTGTTAACAAAATAT